AAACGGCCATTGGCTTTTTGAAACGGCCATTGGTGGGGGCGATAAAATAGTCTACGGGCGATAAAATGGTCTACGGGCTGCCTTGGCTTCATAAAACGGCGAAAAAATGGTCTACGGGCTTGATAAAATGGTCTACGGGCTGCCTTAGCTTGATAAAACGGCGATAAAATGGTCTACGGGCGATAAAATGGTCTACGGGCTGCCTTCGCTTAATAAAACGGCAATTGGCCTTGATAAGGCCATTGGGGGGCGATAAAATGGTCTACGGGCTTGATAAAATGGTCTACGGGCTGCCTTGGCTTGATAAAACGGCCATTGGTGGGGGCGATACAATGGTCTACGGGCGATAAAATGGTCTACGGGCTGCTTTGGCTTAGTCGAACAACTCGAGCGTTTAAAAGGGAGATCGAACAAGATCATGCTCGCCTAACGAACGCGAAAGACAAGCTCGAACATCAAAAAGCCGCGACTTAGCGAGGCCTTTAAATGCAAGCAAAAAATGGCTCAAGCTGGATTGAGATAATTGCTCAGGCAAAGGCTTATGCAAACGCGTAGCCGAAAATCAGCAAAATTCCGAGACGTAGTCACTCTCGATAACTCAAACTGAGACCTGAGCTCACAATGTTAGGTTCGAACATCGTTCCCAGTTAGTTCTAGAAGCTTCGCGGAAATGGGGAAGACCTAAGCGCCAGAACTATCGAACATCACGCGACTCGCGCCTCGCGCCAGGCAACTCGGAGCACTCCGCGCTCTTGCGCCGCGGCGGCCTCGCGCGCGCGTCTCCGACTAGACCTGAGTCCCGCGACTGCAAGACAATAAACACGCGAGCGAAGCGCGAATCATGTCCCCCGCCTCGGCAAAGCGGACTGCTCTAAAGGCCTCGGCCCGTCAGGACAAGAGCGTCATCGCAACGCTAGCGCGCTCCCCGCGCCTTGGCGACATCTCGAAAACATAGCGCGGGCCCAACGCGGCCCCACGCATTTTGAAGCTGATGAGCTAGCAGGTCAAAGAGCCGCGCAATGCTGGGAATGTCGCATTCAAATTGCTGCGCCGCGCGCCAACAAGGCAAGACCCAATCGCGCATTTGCTTTTTGCCGCCTTCATTTAAAATCGCTCTCCAAGATCTACCCTAGCGGCAATTCGGGCAGAATCGTTTGCGGATCTGTTCTTCCGCCGAATTCTCGCTCCATTTCCTCTTGCATCTGAGACAAGTATGTTCGCCCCATTTGCGATCTGCCGCGCAGTTGGGGCAGCGTTGATTGATGTAGACGGCAGAAGACGTGGGCAGAAAAGCCGCGCAGCCTCGGCACTTCTCCCATCCGGCCCGGAGCCGACGAGCCTTGCCGCGCACCGCGTCCTGGCAACTTTGACACGCGGCCGCCCACGGCAGCGTCAACGCAGATAGGTGGAACTCCTTCAGCGGCTTCACCTCTGCGCATTGCGAGCAAGTCAACTCCGAGACGTTCTTCAAACACGCGATGCAATTTCGCCTTTCTTCTGCACGAGGCTGCCGAAGTTGAGCTCGGGGAAACGCGTGCTCCACTTTCTCGAAGCCGCAGCAAATGCAGCGCAGCCGCTCAACATTGGAAGGCAGTTTGCGCTTGCAGGCGCCTCCATCCTTATGAATGCAAGTCAGACAAGTGGCAGGCAGGTTGGCTCTGGCTTTGTCCCACTGGGCGTCCGCGAAGTAGTCGAAAGGCTTAACCACTTTGCATTGTTGGCACGGCGCGCTGGGCGCGCGGGCCTCGCGGTAGTTGACCCAATCAATCTTTTCACCTCGGAGAGTCTTCAGCAGCAACTCTGGCCCCTCTGGCGCACCCCGCTGGAAGAGCCAGAGCGGGAACGGCCGCAAAATGAGGATATCTTCACGGCTCCTGCGAGCAACAGACGCGACGAATCTGAGTCGACCGCCGAGCGCGCAAAAGTTTTTACTCCGCTCCCTAAAAAAAACCGCCTGGCCTCACGCGGCTGCCGGCCACGGTTCCGAAGGTGATGTCCGTCCACCTGTCCACGTTGAAGTCGGCCATGGCCGCCGGCAAGGTCTTACCCTGACTCCCGTGGGCAGTGATGGCGTAGGCCGGCACTAGCGGGATCTGAGTTCGGGAGATCCTCAGCACGGGCTTGGGCCTGCCGCCGTCCAGGAACCAGACCTTGGTTTGCCGCGTGACCGGATAGAGGCCCGGCTCGGGCGCGCCTTCGAGCTGCCACTCCGCGCCTTGAAACTTCACGTAGACGTGGGTAGGCTGCCGCGCGCCAGGAGGCCAGCGCCAGGAATGCACGAACCCCGTCGCGCCGCGTAGAAGGAGCTTGTCTTCAGACCTGTCCAAGTGCTCTGTCAGCGCCACCTTCATGCCCACGGCAAGCGGTAGCATTCCACACAGGTTTCCAGTGTCCCTGTCATGGTATTGCAGCCAACGGACCCTCGCCGCCTTGTCGCAGGCCTGAGCGCCGGGCGCAATACTTCCTCGAAACTGGATTAAAGTTCTACACAAGCACGTTTATTTTAAAAAGTTTTTTTTTTTGCCTTCTTCCTGCCTGAGTCTGCAAGAGCGCCAAGCCCGGCCTGTCAGCGGCGGCGGCCCACCGCAGCGGCGCGCCCGACTCCTTCGAATAGCGCAGCGCGCGGTCTTTGTTGATCTGAAACTTGGCGTCGTTGTTCGCGACGATGACTGGCGCCTGCTTGAACTTGGCTTCCTGGAGCCGCGGGTCGCTGTGGCCCGCGACGACTCGTCGTCGAGACGCCCGTTCTTCGTCGGACAGGGCGCAGCCTTCCACCGGGAGCCCATGGAGATATTTCCAGTTGCGCTCCGAGAGGTGCCCGGCTCGTAGCTCGTCCACAACTGCATTCCACCAGCCGTCCTTGCATCTCTCCCGCTCCTCCAACTCGGTGACGCCTTGGACGGCGCCGCCCCAGAACAGCTCCCTGCCATAGTCCGCCAAGGGGTCCGGGGCCGTCAAGTCGTCGGGCGCTCGCGGGCGCCGATTGTAGGGGACGTCGCCCAAGTACGCCCCGCTAGGCGGAGGCAGTTGATAGAAATCCCCGGTGAAGAGCACGTTGATGCCCGCGAAGGGTCGGGAGGAGTTAATCACGGGGTCGAGCTTCCAAGCCGCCGCGTCTGGCACCGCGCTGCGCAGGCGCTGATCCACTTGCGCCAGGAGCCGGGCGTTCACCATGCTGACTTCGTCGATGATGAGCCAGCGCCAGAGCCCCATCCGCTTGGCCACCTCCTTGCTGACGGCGCGGTCGACGGCCTTCCAGTCGGCGCTCAAACCACAGACGTTGTGGATCGTCTTGCCCTTGATGTCCGCGGCGTTCACAGCCTGGAAGGCGGCGACCTCGTAGTCGATGCCTTGGACGTAGCCGAGCTGCTCTTCGAAGAGTTCCCTCAAGTACTTCAGGACGTGAGACTTTCCCGCGCCCGGAGGCCCGTGTAAAAGCCACACCAAGGGCTCGCCGCTTTGGCGACTCGACTCTTCCGGCGCGAGCAGGCCACACTCGATCAGAACCCGCTCCACGACTAGCGCCAAGATTTCTTGCTGCTTGGCGTTTAGGTTGGGCCGCTTGGCTTCCAGCCACCCGAGCAGGCCGGCCTTTGTCACGAGCGGGCGGACCGCGCTCACTCCGGGGCCCATTGGCGCCTCCTTTGCTGGCTTTCTCCCCCTTGGCGCGGGAGGCCTTGGCCGCCTCCTCGAGCTCGTCGTGGTCTTCCACGGCCTGCTTGGCCGCCATATCGGCATAGTGTTGGGCGAAGCTTGGGTCGCCCTCGCCGGACGCGGCCGCCCCGCCCCAGACTTCCTTGGACAGCTGGAACATCTGCTCCGTGCGGGCGATCCGCTGCGCCTTGGCGGTCGCGTCTTCTGGCGTCTCTGCCTCGGCGTCTTCTTCCTCTTCTCCCCCAGCTTCGCCCGGCTGCGCGGCGCCTTTGATGCGCGTGGCCTGCGCCGCCAGGAGGTCTTCCTCCTCCAGCTCCATCGGCTCGTCTTCGAACTCGTTGTCGCTGTTTTCCTGCGGCGCGCGCCCTCTTGCTTTTATTTTTTAGACGCTGAAACATTTGACTCATCCAACATCCAGTGCGACGCTCGACCCGAACATTCGACGAGCCACGCCTCCAGCTTGTCGCTCGGCTGAAGTTCTCGCGGCAGGCCGTAGACGAAGCAGAAGTTTTGCGCAAACTGCTTGACCTCCTCGGTCGGGAACCCGTCTCGCAGCAGGCGGAATCGCAGCGCGTGTCTCCAGGTCTTGACGCCCGGGGCCTTGAAGCTGCTCAAATAGGGCACGCGAGAGGTAGCTTCTGAAGGATCGTTTGTCCAGGGAAAGAACAGTAGGAGCACCTTCTTGGCAGTATCCTCGTCGCAGCGGCTGCCTAAGGCGCCTTGAACCACAGGGACGTTGGGCCGGCGCCGCAGGGCCGCCACCCAATCATGCCTGCAAACTAGGGCGGAACTTCTTTTACATGACATTAGTTTGAGTCAACTCTTTTGGCGCCCCGCGCCTGAACGTTTGCCCTAGCGCGCCGTGGCTTAGGGCAACCCAATCTGCGCCGCCGGCGTCCTTGACGCGGTAGTGCACTCCCGGCAACAGCGCGGCGTGTCGGAAGCGCTTCAGAAGCTTCTGGCCCTCGTCAGTCAAGTAGGCGTGAAACTCAGCCCCGCAGTTGTAGCCTTCGTCGCCCTCCTCCTCTTCAACTTCGTCTTCGTAGCCCAAATCCGCGACCTTGCGGGGGTGCTTGGCCACGGCGCATTGGAAATGGCGGGCGAACTCAAAGGCGGACAGCTCGAAGATTCGAGGATCACGACCGCGCGATCCGTAGAAAGTCCAAAAGGCCGGCCGGGAGACGGTCTGGCGCAGCCCAAAGGCGCGCTTGTCCGGCTGTTCCCGCCGCGGCTCCACAGGCCACGGCTCGCCGGTCGCCGCGACCTCCATCAGCCGCAAGCCGAAGGACAGCGAAATATCCGTCACGGGGGCCGTCTTAATCGTCTCCGCAGAGGTCGGGTCGTTCTTGCCAGAGTTGACGATCAGGTTGCAGCATTCCACGGCGCCGCGGCAGACACCCCTGCGGACAGAGCGACGACCGTCGAAAGGAAACACGACTCGCCACCCAGAACGGCTTCGCTTTGAGCGCCGACATCAATCTTTCAACCCGCCTAGAGTAGATATCCGTGATCAGCCTCTTGTTGCTTCGAGCCGCGAGATAGCCGACGGGTTTGTTTTCCAGGTCTGCCGCTAGATCGCGCTGTCCTCGCTGCCATTCTTGGATCTCGGCTCGGGCGATGGGCAGTCGCTTGTTGCCATAGTCGCAGCTATATCCAGCCTGCGCCGCCTGCGCTGCGAGACAAAACCGAAATCACACGCAATAGTCACTTCTCTGAGACAAGCGCGCGCCGAAACACAACTCGCTCCAGTCCTGATTCAGCTGCGCCTCCCTGATCATGGACCGGATTGATCGAGCCCCCGCGCAATTCTCTTTGCAGAGGGCGTCGTTGTGGTTCTGGACGGTGACGGGAAAACGGTAAGGCAGCTGCAGGTCCCCGTTGCATCTCAGCGCCGCGAGGAAGGCGGGGTGGTTTCCGTTGAGATTCGGCTCGTTCATTGGGCCCCAGCAAGCGCCGAGCAAGCTGCGCTTGCCTTTGACGGGCAGTTCGAATTGTTGACCTAGGCCTAGGCACACCAAGACCGCCTCATCCACGAGAGCGTTGTCCCTAGGAAAGCCGCTCTTGCACTTGGACGGATCCCGCGGGTCTTGGCAGTGGGCCAAGGGCTGTCTCTGTCCGTTGGGGCCAGGCAGGTGGACGTGATGTTGTTTGCGCCGCTGTAGCTCTTCGACGTCCTCCTCCAGGAAACAGGCTTTCCATTCCTCCGGACTCAGCGAGCAGCTCTTCTGATACGCGGGTCGGCACAGCATCAAACTGCAACCTCTATATTCTGGCCAGTCTGCCTCCACGGTCTCGCGCAGTCCTTCTCGCCATAGGTCGGGTCTGCAGTAAACGCTGCGCCTGCGCGAGGGAACGCGACCGAGAGGCGACGCGAACGGGGCGCGACCCCCCCCCCCGAACCAAGTTTGGACGAACAAACCCGGCCTGACGTGGGCAGAGTAGCCAGCGTACTTCTGAAACAGCCGCCTTGCGCCGCCGTCTTCCTCCATCCGCACGAGTTGCGACAGGGGCGTATGTTGGTGGAAGCACTGCAGAAAGACTTGGAAGTGGCCATGTAGGGAGCCGGCCTTTTGACACTCGATCGAGCCATAAACGGCGTCGACCCGACCCAGCACGCCGCCCGTCGCCGTAGCGCTGCTGCCAAACGCGTCAACGCAGGGCGAGTCGGAAGCCGCGCAGTCTGGACAGCGCGGGCAGAACCGGACTCCAAGGAGGTGCCGCAGCGCCAGAAGCACCAGAACTCTGAAGCCTTCCGCGCAGGCCAGTGGATCTCGGGCCAGGAGCGCCTTATATAGGGCGCCCCGTTTCGGCAGTCAACCTTCCTCTTCCGGAGCGTCCAGTCGCTCCTATTATATAGCGCGCCCCGTTTCGGCAGTCAACCTTCCTCTTCCGGAGCGTCCAGTCGCTCCTAAAATATGGGGCGCCCTGTTTCGGCAGCCAACCTTCTTCTTCCGGAGCTTCCGGTCGCTCCGATTATATAGGGCGCCCCGTTTCGGCAGTCAACCTTCCTCTTCCGGAGTGTCCAGTCGCTCCTATTATACAGGACGCCCCGTTGCGGCAGTCAACCTTCCTCTCGCTCCTATTATATAGGGCGCCGTTTTGGCAGTCAACCTTCCTCTTCCGGAGCGTCCATTCGCTCCTATTATATAGGGCGCCCCGTTTCGGCAGTCAACCTTCTTCTTCCGGAGCGCCCGGTCGCTCCTATTATATAAGGCGCCCCGTTTCGGCAGTCAACCTTCCTCTTCCGGAGCGTCCATTCGCTCCTATTATATAAGGCGCCCCGTTTCGGCAGTCAACCTTCTTCTACAGGAGCGTCCGATCGCTCCTATTATATAGGGCGCCCCGTTTCGGCAGTCAACCTTCGTCTTCCGGAGCGTCCATTCGCTCCTATTATATAGGGCGCCCCGTTTCGGCAGTCAACCTTCTTCTTCCGGAGCGCCCGGTCGCTCCTATTATATAAGGCGCCCCGTTTCGGCAGTCAACCTTCCTCTTCCGGAGCGTCCATTCGCTCCTATTATATAGGGCGCCCCGTTTCGGCTGTCAACCTTCTTCTACAGGAGCGTCCGATCGCTCCTATTATATAGGGCGCCCCGTTTCGGCAGTCAACCTTCTTGCCCGGCCGCTGATAAATTCTTTGCGCGGGATCATGTAAAACTAGCCAGTTGTGCTCCAAATCTAGAGATCTGGCCTTCCAAGGCTCAGCTCTGTCCCGGGAAGGTGATTCTGTCCTGTGGGAGGAGGAACTCATTTTCTTTTAAAAAATCCAGGATTTGGGCTTCCCGGTCGCTGATAAATTCTTTGTGTGGGATCATGTAAAACTAGCCAGTTCTGCTCCAAATCTAGAGATCTGGCCATTTGGCTGCCTTCCAAGGCTCAGCTCTGTCCCGGGAAGGTGATTCTGTCCTGTGGGAGGGGGAAGGTCTTAGGAAAGCTCATTTCCTTCCCAAAAATCCAGGATTTGGGCTTGGCCCGGCCGCTGGTAAATTCTTTGTGCGGGATCATGTAAAACTAGCCAGTTCTGCTCCAAATCTAGAGATCTGGCCATTTGGCTGCCTTCCAAGGCTCAGCTCTGTCCCGGGAAGGTGATTCTGTCCTGTGGGAGGGGAAACTCATTTTCTTTAAAAAATCCAGGATTTGGGCTTGGCCCGGTCGCTGATAAATTCTTTGTGTGGGATCATGTAAAACTAGCCAGTTCTGCTCCAAATCAAGAGATCTGGCCATTTGGCTGCCTTCCAAGGCTCAGCTCTGTCCCGGGAAGGTGATTCTGTCCTGCGGGAAGGGGAAGGTCTTAGGAAAGCTAGAGATCTGGCCATTTGGCTGCCTTCCAAGGCTCAGCTCTGTCCCGGGAAGGTGATTCTGTCCTGTGGGAGGGGGAACTCATTTTCTTTTAAAAAAAAATCAGGATTTGGGCTTGGCCCGGTCGCTGAAAAATTCTTTGTGTGGGATGATGTAAAATTAGCCAGTTCTGCTCCAAATCTAGAGATTTGGCCATTTGGCTGCCCGGGAAGGTGATTCTGTCCTGTGGGAGGGGGGAGGTCTTAGGAAAGATCACTTCCTTCCCAAAAATCCAGGATTTGGGCTTGGCCCGGCCGCTGATAAATTCTTTGCGCGGGATCGATTCTGTCCTGTGAGAGGGGGGAAGGTTTTAGGAAAGCAAATTTTCTTCTCAAAATCTAGGATGTGGGCTCGGCCCGGCCGCTGATAAATTCTTTACACGGATCATATAAGACTAGCCAGTTCTGCTCCAAATCTAGAGATCTGGCCATTCGGCTGCCTTCCAAGGCTCAGCTCTGTCCCGGGAAGGTGTTTCTGTCCTGTGAAAGGGGCCAGGCCTGTTTGACGATCCTCAGGCCCAGCCTAAACAGAAGACCCGCCCAAGCAAGGCCCAGCCCAGGGCCTCGCACTCCAACCAGTTGGCCAAAAAATTCCACCCTCGCGTATGCCTGTTGGCCCAAGATCCTGTCCTGGAAATTCTCAGAAAGCCAAACAAAAATAGTCTTTTTGTCACGAAAAGCATGACCTCCCACTGGCCAGGCCTGTCTGACGCGTCTCAGGCCCAGCCCAACCAGCAACCCACCCAAGTAAGACCTAGCCCAGCCTGCCCAGCCCAGGCCTTAGAGTCTGGCTGCCCAACCACCTACTGACGTGGCTGAAACTAGCTTCATCCCAAGCGAGGCCCAGCCCAGCCCGCCCAGGCCCCAGGCGTGCCCGCCCCAACCAGCAGCCCAGGCCGCCCAGCAGCTCAACCGCTTGCTGGCCAGCAACCCACTCAAGCACCCTAACCAGCAGCCCAAGGCCAAGCCCAGCCAAGCCCGCCCCCACCAGCAGCCAGGCCCGGACCAACCAACAGCCCAACCACTTGCTGGCCAGGCCTGTCTGATGTGTCTAGCTTTAGGTCCGACAAACAAGCTTAACCTAGCGTTTGTTGTCGAGCGGCAATGTTCGCGATCTTGAGTTTGAGGCGTCAACCTACCTTGGAGGCAGGCTTGTCCGAGCACTTCAAACGCCTGACGTTCAATCGCTAAATATATTTATAGATATCTCGATGTACCGCATCGAGCTTCTCATTTAAATCTACTAACAAAATTGACAGACGACGACGTTTCCGACCTCGAGTTTGCGGCGTTGATCAATTTGGGGCGAGGTCAGCTTAAGCGTTTAGAACGTTCGATGCTCCATCAATGAAAAGTTTAAGCCTCAGTCTCGCCCGATTCAATGGACAGTTTAAATCTATCATCTCGAGCTTGAACCGTTGGTCTAGTCTAAATTGAGGCAAGCTTAAACTTTGTAACTCACATATCTCGATAGACGGCTTAATTGAGCATCGATCTCATGTCGCTTGACCGGTCTGTCAACACTAAGATCGACGCACAACCTTACACCTGTGTTGGCGCATATGGCGGCAGCCACTAAAAGTTTAGGGTTTAGGGTTTAGGGTTTAGGGTTTAGGGTTTAGGGTTTAGGGTTCAAAGATTTCAAGACGTAGATTTTTTCAAAGCAAAGCGCATCAAAAGTTTCGACCTCAATCCCACCCACCCAGGACCCGCTTCCAAGCGCCAGCTTCCACTCGCGGCCGGCGCAACTCAACGAACCTGGCGCAAGAAAAAGAGCGGCGGGCCCCCCGCGGCAAAGTGACGTAAGACAGGAGCAACAGCAAGCGGCGACCGACAAAGCAGCAAGCCGCGTTCAAGGGCGAGCGGCGAACAAGAAGAAGCAGCTTCTTGGCCCGAAGCCACGGATCTTGCCCCTCAGGGAAAATAAGCCAGGAAGCAGAGGTTTTACAGAGAAACTTCGTGAGGAAACAGCGCAAGCGAAGCGCTTCAGAAGCAACTCCTACGGCTTGCCTGCTTCTAGTTTGCTACTCCTGGCTTGGCGCCTGAAGAGAAACGGCGCTGCGCCGCAGCAAGGGCGCTTCAATCGCGCGAGTGCGTCAGAACCATGTTTTCGCCCGGAAGTGGAAAACCACGGCGCGGGCACGAAAATCGACGCCCGGCAGCCCGAAACCGCAGCGGGGCCACGCCAAACAAGGCGCGCGCCAGGGGGGAACCGAGCCCGGGACCACCCGCTTCAGAGACGGACGCACGACCACTAGGCCACCAGCCCCGCGGCGGGCCCTCGCCGCGCCCGCGGCCCACGCGCGGGCAAGAGGCCCCGACCTAGAAAGCGCGTAAGTTTAGCGCGTGCAAATTCTGGCCCCGAACTTGGATTTGAGCAGCGAAGCAGATTCAGAAGCTCGCAAGACACATGCAGAACTTAAAAACAAGCTTCAAGCAGCCCCAGTGTTAGGCGCACCGGCGCGACCGGTTTGGCTTTAACTTTTAAATTAATATTAAAGTAATTAGAAGTTAGGTTTAGGGTTTAGGGTTTAGGGTTTAGGGTTTAGGGTTTAGGGTTTAGGGTTTAGGGTTTAGGGTTCAAAGACTTCGAGACGTGGATTTTTTCAAAGCGAAGGTCATCTAAAGCTTCGATCTCAATCCCACCCACCCAGATCCCATTACCAAGGGCCAGCCTCAACAAGTTGCCGGCGCAACTTAGAAAACCGAATTTTGGGGGCGCGCGGCGAAAGCCATGTGGCAAGAACAGCCGCGCGCGGCGACTAGCAAAAGGTTGCGAGCAGCAGCAGCCGTGCGCGCGGGTGTGGGGAACAAGCGGCAAGCGACCCGTCGCGAAGTTCCTCGCCAGGGGAAAAGCAAAGGCAAAAAGTTGGGCCGACATCAAGCTCGCTTTGCGCGCGCGTTGGCTCAGCAACACGCTCGCTTCAAGAAAACGAGCGCCGCGCTGCAAAGAATGCCGTCTCGACTGCGCGAAGCCGCGCAGAATTGAAAATTGAAGAAAATCCGCGCGCCGCCGGACGACTTCAGAAGCAGCCCCGCGATTTCGAGCGGCTGGAAACAGAAATCCATGGCAGAGCCACGAAAACTCCCAGCAGCCGAAACCACGACACGGCCACGCAAAACAAGGTGCGCGCCAGGGAGGAACCGAG